GAAAATAGAGAAGCATGAGAAGACTTAGATAAACTGATATGAAGGGAGCCTGAGAAGGGACACACACAGTGATCACAATGGAAAGAACAACAGCAGAATCGAAGCTGAAGGTGTCATGACTCAGCTAGGCCTCAAACAGGACAGGAGAAGACACCTCCACACGTGTGGAGCACCGAACGTAGCAGGCTGTTCTGACGTGTCAGGTAGTTTTTCTGAACTTTCTTGTTCCTTTCTCTTCTTCTCTGCTGAGACAGCTAGGTGGCATGGTAGACAGAGGTCTGGGCCTGGAATCAGAAAGACCTGAGTTTAAATCTGGTGTCTGACACTTACTATCTGTGTGTCCCTGGGCAATTCACAACCTCGATTTGCCTCAGTCTCCTTGGCTGTAAAATAGGGGAAATAATAGTACCCACCTCTCAAGGTTGTTGTGAGGATCAAATGTGATACTATTTGGAAAATGCTTAATTAACACAGTGCCTGGCACATAGCTGGTGCTTAATAAATGCTTCTTTCCCTTCTTTTTTTTTATTCTTTACTGTAAGAGATGGCTTTGTGGGAGGTGTGGGGAAAAATACAACAGAAAACATAAATGATATAAAATCAAAAGAAATATACACACATATATGTTTAAAGATTGAATTGTTACAAAGCGTATCTGGGTAGGGGGAAATGGGATTTGTGTTAACACAAGGGCTAATGGGCTGTACTTTCTCTACTGTTTAAAAATAAAACAGTAAGGGGGAGAAGTAATATTAAGGGGATCAGATAGAGTAAAAACAAAACTTAGTATAACAGGGTGGATTTAGAAATTCCTAGAGATAAACCAAAAAAGAGAAAATCAATAGCCTTAGGAAAGTAGCAGAATACAAAATAAATATACAAAAAATCATTAGCATTTCCATAGATTACTAACAAAAACTAGGTACATGAGATAGGAGGAATATAATTTAAAATAACAATAAAATGTGTATTAAATGTCTTCACTAACCTGCCAATACACACATTATTTATATAAATGTAACTTAAATGCCCAAATGGAGCTGTGGCTTCAGTGGTATGGATGTCCCTTCCAACAATACATATTGCAAACCAACCATGCCTGACTCTTCTGTGCAGTTCTTAACCCATAATATGACTATAAAACAATTTTAATAGAAATGAAGGCAGACTTCAAAAAGTTGAGAGACACTCAATGCCTTGCGTAGGCTATGCTGATATACAGTGGTAAAAAAGCTCATACTGTCCAAGTTAATCTGTAGATTTGCTACTAGGCCTTTCAAATGACCAAAAGGCTGCTTTATAGAATTAAACAAAACAATAACAGAAGTCATATGGAAGTGTAAATTGTCAAAAAAAAATAACTAGGAAAACAAAAATAGAAGTGAAGGAGTTTGGCCTTTGATGTGCTCTTCCACTAAAGTAGTAATTATCAAGATTATGGTATTACCCAGCAATAGCACTTCTAGGGCTGTATCCCAAAGAGATAATAAAAATGGGAAAAGGACCCACATGTACAAAAGTATCTATAGCAGCTCTTTCTGTGGTGGCAAAGAATTGGAAATTGAGGGGATGCCCATCAATTGGGGAATGGCTGAGCAAGTTGTGGTATATGAATATAATGGAATACTATTGTTCTATAAGAAATGATGAGCAAGCAGACTTCAGAAAAACCTGGAAACACATGTGTGGACTCATGCTGAGTGAAGTGAGCAGAACCAGGAGAACATTGTACACAGTAACAACCACATTGTGCCATGACTAATATTGATAGACTTAGCCCTTCTAAGCAATGCAAGGATCTAAGACATCTCCAAAAGTCTCATGATGGAAAATGCTATCCACATCCAAAGAAAGAACTATGGAGTTTGAATGTAGATCAAAGCATACTATTTGCTCTTTTTTTCCTTCTGTTTTGTTTTGTTTCCTCTTTCTTGTAGTTCCTCCTGTTGGTTCTAATTCTTCCTTACCAGGTGACTAAGGTGAAAATATGTTTATTAGGAATGTATATGTAGAGCCTATATCAGGTTGCACGCTGTCTTGAGGAGGGAGGGCAAGAAAAATTTAAAACTCAAAAGCTTATGGAAATGATTGTTGAAAACCAAAAAAAAAAAATCCAAAACATTCCCTGGCACAAAGAATGTAATCTTTGCTGACTATGTCATTATGTTTCCCCCTTTCAACTAAGGAATCTCAATGTGAAGAAGATGAGTTTTTTATTTTAAAAAAAATTCTAGAAAAAAAGATCATGGTATTAAATATAAAAACTGAATGGTCTGACAGTGGAATAGATAACATTAGCAAGACTTGGGAAGAAATGCTTCATGCAGCCTCATTTTTAATAAACCTAAGACCATGAAGTATTAGAGAAAGAGTAATAATCAAAAACTGCGGGGAAAATTATATAACTCTCTTGTCAGCTAAAGTGGCACAAGGTATAGAATAAAAGGCCTGGGGTCAGGAAGACTCATCTCCGTAAGTTCAAATCTTGCCTGAGTCAGTTCCTAGCTGTGTCACCCTGGCAAGTCACTTAAGCCTGTTTGCCTCAGTTAGTCATCTGTAAAATGAGCTGAAGAAGGAAATGGCAAAGCACTTCAGTATCTTTGCCAAGAAACCCCAAATGGGGTCACGAAGAGTCAGACATGACTGAAATGACTGGATTGAGCCGAACTGTTCATAATTAACTGTCATCCTTTATAAGATTTTAAAAGTGAATATATATACATACATGTGTATATGTATATACACACATGCATCTTAAACAGGTATTACGTTGGCTTCCATTTCTCTCAACTTGACAAGTAAGTCAATTGTTTGCTGACTAAGGTTTGCTGACAAGGTGTCCTTGTTATGACAATTGATTTGCAATGGTTAAATTTTGATATAAAAGTGTAATACATGTCAATGTCATTTCCTCTCTTAATTACACATTTTTCATGACCATTTACATACGTAAATAGTTCAAGATGAATTTGTTTCAGTTGCATGCTATATCTTTTTCTCATTCTTCTTCTTCTAGCTCTCTACTAATTAGGATCTCTGCTTTAATACATTGGCAGTTTGCCTATACTCAGGTAGCCCATTTAAGGATGGTTTCTACATCCATAACAAGTCCTGTCCTGTCTGTTAAAATATAATCAATTTCATTTTTTGTGATGGGATTCATTGTTCACCATGTCCAGTACCTACCAATTATTTTCTCAAATAAGGTATCTATAATGTAATGGTGTCTTCCCTTACTGAGTACTACACAGCAAGCATATTGACTATGTTTCTCCCACTCACCAGGAATGATTAGAAGAGGTAACTTTGTTTTTAAAAGACCCCATGGCAGGTGCTCCAGCCAATTCAACTCCAACCCTTCAGTTCCTTTTTTTTTTTTCTGTGTAGCTAGCAATCGGGTAAATTCCCAGAGAGGAGAACCCAAGTAGTTTCAAAACTAAGGTCATGCCATCAACAAGCATATAAAACAGTGCTCAGAATCACAAATAATCGGAAAATGAAAGTTAAAGCAGCTAATGTAGCCCTTTAGTTCATCAAATTAGCAAAGACAGTAAAAGATAGAAAAATCAGGGTTGGGTAGGGTGAGTGGTACCCTCCTTCCCACCCACCCAACCAGCCCTACTAATTTACTGCTTGTAGATAATGGATTTATCCAACCATTCTGGAAAACAATTTAGAATTACACGAGAAAAGTTAGAAAATTGTCCATAACCTCTATGCCAGTGATGTCAATGTTGGGTTTTTACCTCCAAGGAGGCTGTGGACAACAAGAGAAAAACCTATCTGTAAAAAGATATTTCTAGTAGTACTATTTACAGATGTAGCCAAAAATTGGAAACAAACTGTATATCTTAGTGATTGGGAAATGACTGAACATATTGTGGTATATAACTAAAAAAACATTACTACATCATGAAGAATGCAAAAAATGACAAATTCAAAGAAATATAGGAAGAATTATATAAAACAATGCAGCATGATCAAAGCAGAATCAAAGAAAAACATACAATTACTACAGCTTTGTGAATGAAGATCATTTTTAGTAGAAACAGAATTCAGATTAAAAACATGGGACAATGTGGGTATTTAAACAGCATATACTCATTCTTTTCACAAACAAAACTAGTAACGTAAAGTTGCATGTACAATCAGTCTAAATCACTTTTTTAATGTTTTGCTTTACTGATTGTGGAAGACACTGGGATCAGGGGAAAGTTGTATGATGTGTTGAAACAAAAAAATTACCAGTAATTTTGTTTTATATTTTTAAATGGAAGAGAAAAAGAATGAGAACATGGTAGAGCAGGGCCGTCCAGCTCTCAGGAGAAGAACACAGCAATCCCTCCTTCCTTTGGATCCTTCCTCTGGGCCAGTCCTAAGGACTTTTTCATCCCTAGGCATATCGTGGGCAGACAACCCTTCTAGCCAGGAACAGTTTAAAAATAAGCATTTCAGGACCTTGTTTTCCCTTCTTTGCCCCAGCAAGGGCCCACAATGAGACCATAGCCATCAGCTGACTCCCGGCTTCTGCTTTCCAGGCCTTCTTATTTCTGCTGCCTTACAGGAACTCAGCCACAGGCAGTTGCATGAGAAAAGTTCTAACTGTAATTGGCAAAGGGCGCTGCTGCAGGTTATGGTGTTGGCTTCCTCTCGCACAGAAGACATGTGTTCCCCACAGACAGATTAAAAAGCCAGATCACTCACATAAGTGCCAAAGCAATACAGGGCTCCCCCTGTGCCAGCTCATTACCCGTCAAAGTGAACGTGCTGTTAAAGCTAGGAGAGCCAGGACACCCTAACTGCAAGGAGTCATACAGACCTGAGTCCTGCCTTCAGGCAGCCAGTGTCCCTTCTGTCTCTCACCAACCTGCTGCCCAGCCCTTGGTTTGTGTTCTTTGAACCACGAAAGAGGAATGGGTGGCAGTTAATGTCTCCTAATTGCATGCCCTGAGGGAGGCTATGACCCACAAGCCTTCCCTCAGATGCCTGTTTTGTTGCAGTGTGTTTGAAATGTGATCTCCAAGAGCGGCTTCTTAACCCAGCCCTCCTCCCTGGCACAGCAGAGAGCCCCGGAGGAGACTTCAGCTACCAGATGGCCCCCCAATCAGCAGCGTCACGTTACAGACTCCGGGTGATCAAGTAAGGTGCTAGAGTGTCTCTAGACCCCCCCAGGCCCCATCAGTGCAGACTCAGGAGTCTACAATTCAATCCTCAAATAGGCTGTGGAAATCTCTGCCCGCCAGCCTGAGGGTTAGGAGTGGAGCACTCAGTCCATGAAACCATGTGCATCCAGGGTATGAAGGAGTGAGGTCAGGATACACAGTGAGCCAAGGCCAGGGGGTGGTGTGGAAAGCAGTACCCTGCATCAAATGAAGATTCCAGGCTCCCAGCAAGTGGTGAGGTGGCTGAAAGATTGGCAAGCCCTGAAGCCAGGGGTGGGGGGGTGGGGAGGGGGGTTGTGCGCGGGTGGAGCTATGTAGCATCCGAAGGCAGCTTGCCTAGGATGAGTAGGAGTGTAGGAGTGCTGGATTTGGAAACAGAGGACCTGGCTTTGAATCCTCACTTGACTCGACCTTAAGCAAGTCAGGGCCTCACTCTCTTCATCTGTACAAGTTGACCTCTAAAGTCTCTGACTTTAGCTCCTAATTCTGCAAGCTGCTGAAATGAAGGAACTCCCTACCCTACCTCAGCTTGCTTTTGTTCCCCTGCAGTCTCCTCAGGAATCAGTCCCTTAATAGGACTGGCCTAGAGGTTTTCCAGAGAAGATATTTCCATGTAGCTGGCTAGGGTGAGAAGTACAAGGGAGGGAGAAGCAATTTCGTTTATATTCATGGCCATGAACTTTAATGACTTGCTACTCTCGATTTAGTAGAGGAAGAGTTTCTGCCAGAAAAGCAGAAACTTAGTCTGTCTCTAAAAACATTAGTCTAGGCAGGACATCAGGACCTGTACTAGATCAGGGTTAAATGGGAATAACGGAGAAGGCATAAGGAGAGCCTCGGCTCTGCTACTTACAATCTGTGTGACCTTAGCCAAGTCACTCCTCCCTAGTCTATGCAACAGTGGTGTTTGACTAGATGATCTTATAGGTATCCTTTGTGCTCCTCCGACCCTGAAAGTTGTTGCAAGAAAGAAGCCACATGACCTGGGGACAAGGAGGGGGGAAAAGTGAGAATGACTCCAACCCTGGGGATTGGATGGTGCCACTAGCAATGATGGCGACATTGGGAAGCATCCCCCCGCACTTCCCTTTGCATGTCTTCCCCTTAAACTTACCCTGAGAAACAACCACCAATCACTGGCCTGACTTTCAGATTGGAGAAATGCTAAAGGGAGTGGGAGAGAGGCGAGGAGGAGGAGGAGGAGGAGGGTCACTCTGCCTGTGCCTCACCGGACTGCGGCATCTGCAGATTCTCCCTGTGGGAGTGTCTCCTTCCACACGTGTGTTTCTAGGACAGCGCCGTCACTGCACACATGCCGCCTATGTAACCTTCCTAGCCACAGTGATCACTTAGCACTCCTCTACTCACAAATCTCCAGGGAGCCCACACATCAAGGGAGATGGCGTACCCAAAGTGCTTTGCAGATCCTAAAGCCCTCAATAAACGTCAGCTTTTATGATCAGTTCGTCTTTTCCATATCGCTGTTATTGTTCTACAGATTCCCATTGTCCATTAAACAAAGTATCCATTTCTGACTGTCCTTCCAGCCTCTCCATAATCTGGCTCCAACCCACCTTGCCAACCTCCTCTTACTTTACCCTTCTTAGTGCAGTCTTCAATTCCAATCCAGCCCTCTCCCAGCCCCTCACATTTGTTCATGGCTGCCGCCAGGCTCTGCAGAAAGCTCTTTCCTCTCCAGCTTCACTTTCTTGTAGGCCCAACTGAGGTAGTACTTCCTCCATGAATCCATCTTTGACTGTCCTGAGATGGAAGTGATCTCCCTCTCCTTAGTTTTCTCAGAGCATTTTGTTGAAAACACATTTTACCACATTTTCCCTTGAATCGTAATTATTAGTATATTTGTCCTTCCTATCATGAGAATATAAGGTTATTTAGAACTGGGCACTGTATACCACATGGATGACACCATTTTGGGAGCTCTCCAACCCCCTAATATGCTTGCTTTGTCCAGTAACTTTGTTTCCTTAAGCTTTTGTATGAATTGAATTCTGAGCAAACAGATACTGTCCTGTGAAGGAGCTCAGGAGTCCTGCCTGATTGGATACTTGGGATAGAACCTTGGACATCTTACTATAGAATGGCTGGCCTATGTAGGCCATGGATATATTTGGAGAGATATGCTCAGGGATCGGAAAGTCGCATTCTGCTTCTCCAAGGGAGACTTCAATTTCCAGCATTGTGGAAAGGAGGGGGAGAACCAATTACCTGTCAGGGGAGGGTGTGCAGCATCCAGGACAGCTGTGGCATCACGCTTACTCTAACCTCACTGTCCTATCTCCAAAGAGGATATTGGGCTAGAATCATGCCGACATACAACACCTCAGATATTAACAGTCTATGATCATAATGTTCTTTTAGAGCTCCACAGTAACAGTCCTTTACCCTGGTAACTCTGAGTGGGAAGCAGTCTCACCTTGACCAGGAGGTCATAGCTACCTCTCGCCAGCTTACCTTCTTCCCACAAATGCTAGTTGTACAAAGGACAGTCACAGAAGCAAGCAATCGTATTTATCAGAACAAACAGTGAAATAAAAGTCAAAGAAGTTACGGAGTTTAGTGTAATAATAATAACACCAACAGTAATCATAACAATAGCTAACATTTATATAGCTCTTTAAGGTTTGCAAGCACTTTACAACTACGCATCTTATCCTCACATTTAATTCTGGGAGGTAGGGGCTATTATTATCCCCATTTTATAGATGAGGTTGAGAAAGGTTAAGTGACTTGCCCAGAGTTTCTTATAGCTAATAAGTCTGAGACCAGATTTTAACTCAGATCTCCCTGACTCCAGGTCTAGCCCTCTACCGCTGTGCCAGCCCCACCATGTCCCTCAAATCCTAGCACCTGCAATCCTGGAGACTATTAAGAGCTGACTTCCCCAGTAACTTGGTTTAGTAATTTGGTGCCTTGGTTTAGTCGAAGTTTTATCTAATTTTCAACTCAGAAGTCATAAAATTTCAGCTCAACCAAGGGGAAAGCAATATTACCAGTGGTGTCTGGGGTTGCATGTGCTGGGAATTAAGAGATTGGGGCCTGCAACTCTAGGGAGGTGGTCTGTCCCGGGTTGGTGCCTTGCCTTTCCCTCATCTCCCTCAAACTCTCTTCTGTCCCTCTTTGTCAGCCGCTCAGGAATCCTATTGACTGCCACATACTCAAAACCTGCCTTTCCTGCTGGATCATATACATTGCTCTACTTTACTCAACCTTCATTCCAGCCAAACCAGCCTTCTTGGCAACCCTCGCACTTGGCATTGCATTGTCCAGCTCCAAGTCTTTGCACAAGCCTGAAACGCCCTCCTTGCTCCCCTTCATCTCTTAGAATCCCAAGCTGCACCAGTGTCTCCCATTGCCCAAAGTGATCCTATCTGTACATACTTCTGTGTAGATGTGTTGTCTCCCCCGAGAGAATGGAAACTTTTTGATGCCAGAGACTCGTTTTTGTTTTGTTTTGTCTCCTATCCATGGTGCAAGAAAGAGTACCCAAGGGGTGGCTAGGTGGCGCAGTGGATAGAGTTCCAGCCTTGGAGTCAGGAGGACCTGAGTTCAAAGGTGGCCTCAGACACTTGACACTGACTAGCTGTGTGACCCTGGGCCAGTCACTTAACCCCAACGGCCTCACTAAAAAAAGCAAAAACAAAAAGAAAGAGTGCCTGGGGAGGCCATAAGCCTCTTATCAATGAGCACTCCTATTTAAATTTGGTGACTCCTCCAGCACCCAGCATATCGTTCTGCACTTAATTAAGTGTTTGTATTTGAAAAATATTGTTGCTACCATAACTGCTGGTAAGGGGCATGGGGTGGGCATCCTCAGCAGGGCTGTGCAGGATGTGCCTGAGAAGATGGTTCTCACTCTCGAGCAGGGTCTGAGCCCTCATGGTGCCTACTTGGATTTGTGCCCTGTTGGGATAGACTTGGATACCGCAGAATGTTCCTTCTGTCCCTGCTCTCATCTTGTCCCAGGGCTCTAGAATCCAGTGGGGTCTGCGAGTCAGTGACATATGGACTGCCATTCATCATCAGGCCAACAAGTTGTTGGCAGCTGGACTGGGATGAGCTAGAGACAAACCAGCAACGTTTCCATGCTTTGTGTCACAGCCTGCAGGTAAGTTCCCATGTCACTGGATGGCAAGAGGTGGGAAAACTGAAGTACCAGCCACCAAATAGGCATGAGCCCCAAAATCAACACCCATCCCCCCCCAGCATGGGGCAAAAGGGTCTCTGCCCCAGGGTGCCACTGTGGGGGGTAGCGATTACAGTCCTTGTACCTTGCCTTAAAGTCCTATGTCAGCTGTTGTGCTCTACTCTACTATGCACTCACCCTCAGGCCATGACACCTTCAGCTCCTACAGAATCCTGTTACCCACCATGACTTCCTCCCCAGCCCCCAAGCAGGCTCAACTAATTTTGCCCTAGGTGATGATATTTCTAATTAGAGCTCTACAGCCCTCACTCTATCACCCCCTTGTACACACTCCCTGGTTCAGCCCTGTGTCCCCATAGAGTAAAGAAAAGACTCCTATATCTAGGGCAGGTCTGACTGTCTTTAGGTTCTTTCTGAGAGACTCAGACCCCTGGAATCAATGTCAGACCACTTGGAAACCCCTGGTTTATTAAACTGAGTTCTCAAGTATCAGGCAGCAGTAAGAGGCCAGAGGGGAGAAGAGGTGACCCATTTCACCCTGCCAGGCTCCCTGAGGAATGGAGGTAGAAAGGGCATGTGACAAAACCAGTGTAATAACACTGAGAAAGCAGTACAGATGGAGTCCAGGTGAGAGCAGATGCCCCCGGAATGGAGGGGAGAACACTAAGGGTGGGGTTCAGGTCAGAGGGAATGAGTGATAAGGAAAGGCCCTTCAGAGGAGGCAAGTATGAACCCAGATGTGGAGGGGAAGGAGGGAGGGAGGGAGGGAGGGAGGAAGGAAGGAAGGAAGGAAGGAAGGAAGGAAGGAAGGAAGGAAGGAAGGAAGGAAGGAAGGAAGGAAGGAAGGAAAGAAGGAAGGAAGGAGGGAAGGAGGAAGGGAAGAGGGGGAGGAAGGCACCTGAACTGGCTGCCGGTGCTGGAAGATCATTGTGTCAGACGGGGCAGGGGGAGGCCTGAGCAGAGAGTCTCATAGATGCCCCCTGAAAAACACCAGGGAAAGGAGTTTGACCTCAGTCATGGAGAAGATCAGGTGCAACTCCGGGCACTGGCTGGCAGCGCCTCTGTCCTGCATACTGCTGTTGAGTCGTTTCAATCGTGTCCAATTCTTGCTGACCCCACGTGGAGTTTTCTTGGCAGAGATACTAGAGCAGTCTGCCATTTCCTTCTTCTGCTCATTTTACAGATGAGGAACTGAGACCAACAGGGCTCAGTGACTTGCCTGAGGTCACCCAGCTAGGAAGTAGCTGAGGCCAGATTTGAACTTCTGGCCAGGCAGGCTTTTTGTGGTGCCCCCTAGCTTGCTGCCCACTACTACTCTGCATCCCCAGTCATTTATGTGTTGTAGCCTCCATTAGAATGTGAGCTTCTTTAGGAGAGAGACTATTTCTGCCTTTCTTTGTGTCCCCAGCACTTAGCACAGTACTTGGCTTATAGTAAATGCTTAATAAATGCTTGTTGAGGTTTTCTTAAAGAAATAATATGCAGTTCTCCAGAGAAACCTCGGGATGCACAAACACTGCTCAGATGCCTTCTTAGATGCACTCTGTGCCTGACCATCAAGCATGGCAGGTTCTAACCGTGTGCCGCGTTAGACACAGCTCGTGAGCTCCCCGTGCCTGGCCTGTAGGTGCAGAGGCGACCACACACAAGGGCACAGAGAGACAGGAGGAAAGACCCAACGCTGCACCCAGCCTGGGAGCCCTAGGCCTGACCACTCATTTCTCCGTTCACTCACACATTTCACTGTGAATGTGGTAACAGAAGGCTGGTTTGACAGTAATGTTAGCATACCAACACTAACGGCAGATTAAATGAGCTTTAGAGAGTGGAGTCCCCGAAATTCAGCGATAGCAAATTGTCCATGCTGTATCCTCTACCACCCCCCACTGCTCTGTTAATATCAAGGGTCAGTAGGAGGCATGAGCAAGTAGAGTTGCCAGGTAGCTTAGTTGGAATGAAAGAAGAATGGGGCTGGCTATAGTGTGGAGGAGCCTTGAATGCCAGATTCAGTAGTTTAGAGTGATATGTTGTTCTCAAGTAATTCGGTGAAAGGGTAGTCCTTGTGGTAGGTAGACCGGTATATGCCAAATGGACTGGGGCTGGAGGACCGGGAGTGTGAGTAGGCCTGGGTTCTGCTGTAATGATTTCTTCCCTGGTCTGCTGTCCACACAGGATGTGGCTGGCTGTCTGCACAGCAGAAGGCTGGCTCTCTGGGCCAGCTGTGAGCCTCTCTCAGTGTGTACACGGGGAGTCTCAGCTCTCAAGCTAGGACCTTCTCTAATAGATTGCCCAAGGGGAAAAGAAGCATCAGCATACATAGCTGGATCATTGGCAAATGATCTTCACTCTGTTTTAATGTCTTGATTTATTCAATGGAGATGAGAATACCTGCGCCACATAGGGAGAAGTGCTTTGTAAACCACAGAAGTGGTTTACATCATCATCGTTATTGTTGCTGTTATTTTCATTATTGCTTGGTATCCCTCCTCATTTATCTGCTTCTCTCTGGCCCAGCGCAACAACCTCTGTCTCAGATACAGAGCCACAACAGTTACTCTCATCACCACACTCGGCCGTTAGGGATGCCCTAGTCTGGATCCCTCTCCGAACTGCCCAAGCGGAGATCTGATGTGGAAGAATAAGCCCAGTCAGGAGGAAAGGAGAGTCCTGCACCGACGCAGAGCCAGTCTGGCTGCCCAGGGAGGCCCAGTTTTAAAAGGGCGTGTGCAAAAGCCAAAAGGAGGGGCACCCAACCTCAGAAGCCTACAAGGAGGGGCACAGACCTGTAACAAGGACAGTGACCTGTGTGGATGACTACACTTCACCCTGGGCTCAAAGGCTGAAAAGCAACTGCATTTCTACTACAGAGAGCTAGAACTTCCTGTTAAAGGGCTCCAGTGGGCTGACCTCCTGCCCCATAGCAGCCTCCCTGACAAGCCGATGTTATTTTACCTATTATTTTTCTGTATTATCAGCCCTGTTTTGCAGGTGATTAAACAGGCTAGGAGGGTTTAAGTGACTAGTCCATGGTCACAGGCTAATAAAGGGTGGGGATCCAACTTACTCCCAGGCTCTGGCCTCACATCCAGGTCTCTTTTCACCACGTCAGCTGTAAAAATATTGTCAGGCAAGCTGAAGTCCCCAATGAGCTGAGGTTTGTGAATAATGCTAAGCCAACAAAAAGGAAGTAACAGACTCACCACTTGAGGAAGAAAGAGTAATGTTAATAAACAACAGAGAAAATGAGAAGGGCTGAGATGATTTTGCTTCTGTCTTCTCTGACAAGGGCAGTGATCTGGCACACAAAGAAAGCAAGAGCAAACATTGTGCTAGGAAATCAAAACCCAAGAAGAATATCCTAAGAGAGGCCCTGCAATTTGAAGTGAATCTGAGTCTCTGGCCTCAGCTTCGTTTTGAAAGAACTTGCTCTGTCTTCTCTGTCAGGACTCATTGAGAATCAGGGAGAAAGGAAGAAGCGCCAGAGACAAGCAGATGGTAGCCCAATTTTCAGGGAGGGTAATGGGATGGACTTAGGGAATCACTGACCCGTGGAAGCCTTCTGTCTCTCCTCATACCAGTCTGGAGAAGATTATCAAAAAGTTTGCAGTCACTTATCACTAGCACATCTCAGAATAGCTCAGACCAAACAAATCTCATTTCTCTTTCAGTCAGGATTACTAGGTTGACAGATCATAAGTCTAGTGTGGCTTGATTTCAGCAAAGTATTCAATAAAGTCTTTCCATGGTATTCTTGTGGACAAAAGGAAAAATATGGACTGAAAGACAGTAAAGTTAAATAGATTCATAGCTGGCTGAACAACTGTTTAAAGACAGCAGTCTCTGTGGGGTATCCTGTTCCCTGTTCCTGCTCCTGGAAGTGGATGGGAAGGTGGGACCAGCAAATTGATGAGGCCAGAAGTCTTCCCTGGCACCAGCTGAAAGGTGGCAGAATATCATACGGTAAGGGCCAAGATGGGGTAAGAGCTGACACTGCACAGTCTGAGTCCTAAAGGACCAGAAAGAGGCCAGGCAGGTCTCCTGAGTAGGAACAGATCAGCTGCCGGATGGTCAAACAGTGTCTTGGGAAAAGAGGTCACATCATGTATTACCTTTCTTAACCTCCCTGGGCCTGCTTCCTCATCAGTAAAATAAGAGGATTGCACCAGATGGCCTCCTCGATCCCTTCCACCTCTACCTCCTCCAAAGTCTGGGACAGAGGCACTGAAGGGCAAGTCAGCAGAGTGCAAAGAAGGAAGCAAGTCCAACGCTGAGCGAGGGCCAACAAAAGCCAGATAAGCAGAAGATCAAGCAAGAGCCTCTGAGCTTAAGAGAAGTTTTCTGTAATTCGTCAGGCTCGGTTCAGTAACGTAGCCACCCTATAGACTTTTAAACAAATATGGAGGCAGCTGGATAGCACAGTGGATAGATCACTGGGCCTGGAGTCAAGAAGACCTGAGTTCAAATCCAGCCTCAGACACTCTGTATATACTAGCTGTATATAACCTGGGCAAGTCACTTAACCTCTGTCTGCCTCAGTTTTCTCAACTGTAAAGTAGGGGTAATAATAGCACCTATCTCCCAGGGTTGTTGTGAAGCTCAAATGAAATAATACTTGTCAAGTACTTAGCACAGTGCCTGGCACATAAGAAGTGCTATATTAACTATTATTGTTACTGTTATTATTATCATTATTATTGTTATTATTACTGCATTCTTCCAGAGGAACTGCAGCTATGGACAGACTCCTACTGCCTTCTGAAGAGGAGATGGGCTTCGAGAGGTTTTTCATGCCTTCTGCATCATCTCTTCATCTAATTTAGTTCCCAGGCCCCCTCACCATCCTCTTCTCCCTTTTCTGGACACTGTAACTTATCAATGGGTCCCAGAACTGAACATAGTATTCAAGATGTGGTCAGACTAGATCAAATATAATCTTGAATGTGTTTTACCACACTGTAGGTTCATGTAGAGCTTACGAGAACTAAAAACCCCAGGGCTTTTTCATATAAACTTCAGTAAAATTTCCCCCATTCTCTTCCTGGACAAGTGTTCATATTTATCTCTGTTAAATTTCATCTTCCCCCACTAAAGGTCTTCTCTGATACCTCATTGTGACAGGTCAGTCAAGCATTTAATGTATTTACTTCGCCAGGCTACTTTCTGGGCATATCAGGAATGACCAAAACAGAACCCTTGCCTTAGTGGACATTCCCAAGAGCCCTGGCAGGTCCCATCAAGCTGGAAAGACTATGAGTATGAGCCCAGAAGCAGACCGTGCCCCTGTCGCACAAAGAGCAGCCTAACTAGGCTCATTAACAGGTTAAGCACCAGAGGAATTTGGAGGGGTAAAGGAAGGTGTCGCTACAGTTCATGAAACTATCCTCTCTAGTGTAGCAGGCCTATGGTCTCTGTGGTAGACGGAGCCGATGGAACCATGGACCCAACTCAGTCCAAACAAATATTCACCAAGTCCCTACTACACACACAGCACTGTTCTAAACCTCACAAATGAAAGTTCTCACCCTCAAGGAGTTTACATTCTTCTAGGTTCTCAAAGTATTGAAGGAAATGTTGCATTCCTTCTTCCAGTCCCTAGTTCCAGGCTCTTGAGATCATTCTGTTTCACCCTGCCTTTCTTTATATCAGTGCTTGCTCTTTCGCTTTCTCCCCTCTCTGCCTGTTGCCTTAAGTGTGTTTGTTAAGCCTTTTGCATTCTCATCCAAGCCATGGTCCACCCCTCCAGAACTTTTTTTCTTTTGGCTTCTTTCCACACAGTTTCCTTCATCCTCTCTAAAAAACCAGAGTGTGAAAAGGCTTTACTTGGCGCTTTTCTAGCAGAAAGACCAGCTGTCTTTGCAGCAGATATAGTAGTGATCATCCTAACCAGAAAAAAATAAATAGTTGGAATCCTACAAGTTGTTGTATGTGGCAGTTCTGTTGCTGTCCTTGATGAATTTACCCTGGAAATTGCCATAGGAGATAACCTGTTTTCCATTTCTGTTTCCATTTTGGGCTCCTGGAAAGACCATTTTTAAGCCATCAGACCATCTCTTTGTTGTTTGCTCCTAAGCGGCAAGAGTGTCGTGGCCTTCTAGCCACAGCAGACACACAACACTTAACAGAATTCTCCCTTCATCCACCTCTCAGATTCCCCTTTCATAGAGGATCAGGCAATATATACCATATTCCATAGAATTATGAAAGGTCAGAATCCTAGAATTTCAGAGCTGAAAGGGCCCCTCAGACAGAATTTAGTTCAAATAGTACCTAAAGAGCAAGGAATCCCCACTATAACACCCCAAAAAAGTAAGCATCCTGCTGCCACTTGAAGAGCTAGAAGGAATAATGGAGGAATGCCTTCATTTTGCAGAGGAAAAAAAAAGGAGGCCAGGAGAGGGGAAGTAACTTGATTAAAGTTATACCATGGGCTAGGGACAGAGCTAGAAACCAAAATGAGATTTCCTCTCAGTCACTGGAATGTTCTTTCTGCCAGAGACTCACTTTTACCCACCTGGTTTCTAAGGTTCCAATTTTTTTTCTCCTTTTGTCTTGTCCACTTTATGGAATGAATAAATGAATGACAAACATTTATCAAGCATTTACTAAATGCTAAGCACTGGAGATACAAATACACAAGGGAGGCAGCCCCTATCCTCAAGATGCTTACTTTCTAACGGAGTAGACAACTCATATTGGGAAGGGCTGGCCAGAGAAGGATACAATCACCCTTTTGGAAAGCAGAGCATTTTTTATGCACATGTTTCTGATATGTCCCATATGTCCAATATGACACATCCCCATCATACATCCCAACCAGGCTTTGATGAGGGGAAAAGAAATGGCCTGTCCAAGAATAACATAAAATTTCTCCTGCTCAGTGCCATGTTAAGAGTGGCTTTTGTCTCCCTGCCACCTTCAGTGGACCCTGTTTGTGACTTTGGGGGCAGCCAAGGACAAGAGTCAAGTTGAGCATGTTTTTGTATGTCTCCTTATTTTAGAAAAGACAGTGGCTGCTATTGGCCAAAGGAGAGCCTCCAAGCCCAGGACCCAGCCAGAATGGTCCCGCCAGCACCTTCTACATCATCTTCCCATCCAGTTCTCTCACAATGCTCGTCAAGGCAGTAGCCACATGTGAGCTGTTGCTGCCCAACTCCTTCCCTATGCCCCCTGAGGACCCACCTGAGGACATCCTTAGGAGTATGGAGGTAAATGGGGCATGGACCAGACAGACCCATGAAAGAGGGGAAAGAAGAGTGTAAGGAAAGGAAAAAGAGGGGAGAAAAAAGATGGAGAGAAGCCTGGTCAGGAAAGGAGATGAGTACAGAGAAGTATGGATTCAGTAGTAGAAACGATAGAGTAAAGAATAGAATGAGAGGGTTGTGGGCAGGTAGAGTTGCACCTTCTTTTAAAGGTGAAATCTGGTTTAAATGAACATAGAACAGCCCTTGAAGGAAAGATGTTGCCACAGAGGGGTGCGCTGCTGCCTTGGACCTGTGGTACTGGGGAAGGGCACAGAAGGAAGATGATGCCCAGCAAGCTTTTGTAGATAAATTCCAAGTTTCAATTTTCTTGGCACCAGATGGTTGGAGGAGGGTAGCTCTTTGGGGGAGGGGGGTGGCAAAATGATGGAGAAGAAAGTGAAGGATCAGGAAGAGAAAAAAAAAGGTAAAGTTGAGGAAGAGGGAGAATAATTAAAGAGGACAGAAAAAAGATCAAAGTGAGGAGAAAGAGAAAAGGGAGGGGGCAGCTAGGTGGCACAGTGGATAGAGCACCAGCCCTGGAGTTAGGAGGACCAGAGTTCAAATCCTGCCTCAGACACATGATATTCACTAGCTGTGGGCCCTGGGCGAGTCATTTAACCCCAATTGCCTCACCAAAAAAAAAAAAAGAAAGAAAGAAAAGGGAGCAGAGAGGATATCTATCTATCTATCTATCTGTATATACATTTTGATTTGTGAATGTCTTTGTGCATCTCTATGTCTGCATCTGTCTCTGTGTGTTAGAGACACTGTCTCAATGACCATGTGTATGCCTTTGTCTTTGTGCCTGTTTGTGTTTGCCAGATATCTTTGTGCAGCTATGTGTTTGTGTCAGAATCCCAGCATCTCTGTATCTGTCTGATTCAGCAAGCATGTATTTAACCCCAGACACGTGCAGGGCACTGTGCAAAGCCCTTGGGATACAGAGAGAAAAAAGTACTTAGTTGTTGTGCCCAAGAAGTTTACATTCTGCTGGGAAAACACAACGTATACAGAGATAAGTATGACATGAGGTAAAGTGTGAATAAGACAGCAGACATATAGGCATTGTGCTCCAGAAAAAAATTGAGAAGGGAGATTAGGGAAGGCTTTACAAAGAAGGTGATGCTGAAAGTAAATAAGGAGAGGATGCACCAGCCTGCGCAAATGAACAGAAGCAGGTGAAAGAATGTAACGTTCAGGAAAGAGCTGGTAGACTACAAATAGAGTAAATGAAGGTCAATAATGAGAAATGAGACTGGAAAGGTAGATTAGAGACAGATCAGGGCTTGAATTCTATCCAAAGGAGTCTGCATTTTATCACAGAGACATTAGGGATCCCCTGAGGGTTTTTGCCTAAGGGACCATCAGGGCAGACCTATGCCATAGGAAGACAGTAGGCTTGTGAAGAATGTTCAAAAATTAGGGAGGAGAGAAACCCAGATAGACTAATAGTACAGGTGAGAACTGGAGTGGAAAGAAAGGGAGGGATTTAAGAGATGGCATATAATCGAATCAACAGGACTTGAAAAGTGGTTGGATTTTGGAAGTCGAGGGAGAAAGATGCATCAAAGATGACTGCCGGCTTGCCTGTGTAGGTGACAGGGGTACCATCAACAGAAGAAGCAAAGTTTGAGGAGAGGTAGTCTGTTCAGGGAAGAGGACTTTGGCATTTGAGATGTCAGCTAGACATCCAACTGGAAATGGCCATCAGGCAGCTAACATTTGTGGAAGAGATTAGTTGTTGAGCCCGATTTGGGAGTCACTTGGCTCTCTGTGTGTTTCATGAGCCATGAGGGCAAGTAGGGACATGAATTCCTGAAGTTCAATTCCAGCCAGATGGAAAACTGAGATATGGCCACAATTGGAGAAATAATGTCACAATCTGAGAAGAGGCTTAAGTCCATAAGAGTGTGACAAAGGGGCAGCTAGGTGGCGCAGTGGATAGAGCTCTGACCTTGGAGTCAGGAGGACCTGAGTTCAAATGTGGGCTCAGACACATAACACTTACTAGCTGTGTGACCCTGGGCAAGTCACTTAACCCCGATTGCCTCACCAAAAAAAAAAAAAAGCATGAGAGTGTGATGGAAGAACTGAAGAGAATTGACAACAGTTAAATTATCAAAGAAAGACCGATCAATCAGATACTGTGATATTTTCCCCCAATGTTTAAGTCCTTGCTTGCCAAAAAGAAAATGGGCTTAACATCTCATTTCTGGTAATTCCACATCATCGGTTTTTCAAATTTTAAAAACACATAAGGAAAATGAATGGTTTAATGAGGGGCATGCATCATTCCCATGGAAGTTTCAGTCTCACTGTTTGGAGCAAGACCAAAAACAAAAGAACAGTCCCACACTGACACAATCATCAGAAGGCACAGAATGGAAACTGAGGAGTCCAGCCATGCCTGACGTCGCCAAGCTGGACTCTTTGTCATCCGCTGGCGTCAGCCCGAGGTGTCTACTTCACCAACTTCTGCATGCTCCACGAGGTCCCCCATATTATACCTTGAGACCTCTTGCTTCATCTGCATGTGTTTTAGTATAACATCAGCTTTGTTTAGATTCAGGTAGAGTCAGGGCCAACCAGTATAATGTCTGACACATTTGTACAAAGCTGTTTTCTTCATTTTCCTCTCATTTAATGACCTGTTCACACCATCAAACGACATTACTTCCAATGGTTTATTCCCCAACATCTCTATGCATGTCTGCTACGCCCCTCTGTAAAAGCATAGGCATGTGTCTGTGTGTTCTGCCTTTGTGTTACTGGGTCTGTGCAGAATCACATCTCTGAGTTGGAAGAGACCTCAGAGGTTATATAATCCAACCTATACCTCAACAGGAATCCCTTCAATACCTCTCTGTAATTGGGCCTTTGCCTGAACTTCCAGGGAGGAAGAACTCATTACCTCTGAGGCAGCATATGCCACACTTCTGTCTCTGTGTGTAGGTCTTTGTATATCTATTTCTTTGTCGCTGTGCATGCATATTTGCCTGTTTCTCTGGGCCTATGTGGTCAGGCGGGAAGGGGAGGAAGACTTTGCTAGTAGTTCCCCTGCAGAATTAGCCTCAAAATGAGGTTGTACTACAAAGGAGGAAGCAGACATAAAGGCCATCCCACCAGCACTCCTGAAGGGCTTGGCCCTGTACCTGCTCTGTCTGCCTTCCCAGACAGGAAGCCTAGGGAGACAGCTACTCCTCCACTGGAGCACTGACCATATATTGTGCCCGCTTCAGAGTCCCACATCCTAAGCCTGCAGTAGAAATGGTATGGAGGACGGAGGTGGGGAGGGGCCTGCAAACCATCAGGTGGCAGCGCTGAGCCCACCCACCCCTGAGGAGGCCAAGCCCAGCCCGGCCCGGAGGATGCAATCCTGAGGCTCTCCCAGTCTCATTCTGAGGCCAGCGGTTCCTGGCATAGGATGCTGTGGTCGGAAAACCTGACTGCTCAGGAATGCCGTCCCCTTGTATTCCCTGCCTGGGACTCTCTCCCGCCTCGAAGGGCCAGAGGACGTGCTGTACCCACCTCCGGCATGCCTCTCCTGGCCCTAGTCACACTGGGTCACCTGGGACTCCTACAGCGTCTCACATTCCTGAGACATGCATCTCTGGGCCAGGGGCGGTGGTAATTACCTATAACGCATCTGCACCCTCTGCGTTCCCCATGACACTCACACGCCTCACACTGAGCGAACCTGTGACACCCCATGTAACGGCCCAGGATGTTTGCTTTCAGAGTAACGGCCTTTGTGAGCCAGGCTGAGCGCCATTTCTGAGGCCCCTAACACTCCTCACACTTTGGGTGACTGTTCTCACTTCCTGTTACCCTTCCCCAGAAGGTTAAATGAGATATTTGTAGAGCGCTTAGCACAGCCCCTGGCATACAGTAGGTACTTAATCAATGCTTGTTCTTTTCCCTCTCTGCTTTCTTCCCTCCCTTCCCTCAGAACACTTTGGATGGCTTAGAGGTGGCATCCACCTATAATCCCCTGCAGATCAAGAGTTGTCTATATGAACACCTGAGAAGCATCTTGTCCAAGCCCCAGGGGCCACTCAGTTCAGGTCGGGAGCTCCGCCCCCCCAGACAGGTATGACTACTAGAAAACCAGAATTTAAAGGCCTGGAATCCTTTATGCCAGGCCAGGGTCCCTCACCAGCCCTCATCCTGAGTCCAGCGTCCAGGCAAATGAAGCTCCATCCTCAGTGCATCTAGACTTACCCATGGAGTCAGGGAAGAGATAGGGTCCAGGCCCATGGGAGAAGGAATTATTCCTGTAAGGAAAGTACCCCATAGCCCTTCCTGGGGTAGGGTAATTCGGCATAGGCACCAACACATCTGAGGCTTCTCATAGTACTCATGCTGAATATGATGACTTCCTCCAAAATAGAAAGGGGGGTTAGGTAGACCATTAGCTCCTTGGCTATCAGTTCTCTCAGGTGAGGGCAGGGACTAGAGTCCTGGCCAGACCCCCACATCCCACCCCATCCCCCAAGAAGGCAGCAGCCCAGGGCCTGAAGTAAGCCAGGCTTGTCATCCAGCCCCAGTGCTGTGTGGCAGAGGCACCAAGAGCAGTATGAAAAGCGAGCTGTAGGGGAGAGCTGAAAAGAAGGAATGGGGAGATCACTGGAGACAGGAAAGCAGAGTCAGTAGAGCGGAGGTTATCTGTGGGCCAGCAGGAAGAGGCTGGACTGGTAGCAGCCTAAGAAGGCCAGGATCAGTGGGGTTCTGCATGCTGCTTCCTGAAGAGTGGGCTTTGTCCTAGGGAACCACTCAGGGTTTTGGAGTGAGGCCTGTGCATCATTAACATTACTCAACCATATGTGAAGGATGGATTCCAGTAGAGAGACTTGGGGCGTCTGTTAGAATAGTCACCAGATTATAGAATTTAGAACTGAAAAGGGGCCTACTTGAGACATCTGGGCCAGGGGTCTCAGCTTTTTTTTAACATCATGGACCCCTTTGGCCCTCTGGGGGAACCTTTGAGCCCCTATTCAGAGTATTTTTAAATGCATAAGTGGAAACCAATTATACTGGAATGCAGCTATATGAGTATAGGTATGTGCAGGATGTGTATACAGGATGCACTGGCACCAGATTAAGACCTCTGAGCTAGTCCACCGCTTCATTACAGAAATGAGGAAGCTCAGATCCAGAGAAGTCCAAGATCAGACACAAGTATTAAGGAATATAACCATGATTTGAACTCTGGCCCTCTGACTCCAGGTCCAATGTTCTTCCACCGTACAAACTGCTTCCCAGCCCAAATGAGAGGGAATGAGGGCCCAAGCAAGTGGATTGACAAGGGAAATGGAAAGGAACAGACAAATTTGAGAAATATCATGAAGACTGCCTGGCAACCAGCAAGTTAGAGCTCCCTCCAAGGGGCTAAGCCTAGAAGGCCGGGAGGATGGTGGTACTCCAAGCAGGAAGGGGGAAGTCACGAGGGGAACAGGTTTGGGAGAGCAGAATAGGCAGAGGAAGGTTGTGATGTTTGTTCCTTTTGGATTTGTTGGTTTAAAAAACTTACTAACCCCCCCCCCCGTCTCATCTCAGCTGAAACTAAGGAAGCTGTTACAGAGGACAGAAAGGGCACCAGGGCATAGCTCGTGCCTAGGTATGGTTGGTGGCAGGGATCCAGCACTGGGCACAGGAGAACCAGCAAGGTGGGGATGGAAGGGAGCCCTGGGCAAGGAGCCGTAGCCTTTGCTAGATCCCCTTCCTGCCTGGACAACTTTGGGAGCTACAGGCATGTAGCCCCTCAGGCCTATAGCAGACATTTAGTGGGGCTAGATCAAGATAAGGCAGGATTGGATGACAAGAGCCCCGTCAGGGCTCCCTTCCCACCCAGGGAGCCTGTCCCTCTACCCCTCAAAAAGGCTTTGCTTCCTCTTTCTGCAGGTTGGAAGACTACACCCACAGCGAGCCCGAGCTACAGTGCCCCCTCTGCCCCTGGTGCCAAGCCTGCCTCCTTCAAGGGCCCCCAAAATGCCAGCAGCTAAAAAGGCATCCTCAGAGCCTGTGCTATTGCTTTCAGATGATGAAGAACAACTTTTCTGAGAGACACAGATTGATTCAGCCCCACTCACAGCCTGCTCATCCTCCTCCTACATGAAGACTGGAGGCAAGGGGGGATCCGTCTCCTGCTTCTCTGTCCCACTATATTTGGGATGTTAGCTTAGGGCTAGGATTGTTTCAATAGCTAGAGGTGACAGGAACCCTACCCTGGTATGACGCTGTGTCGCCTCTCACAGATGCACACCAGGTACACTGCCCCCTTCCAGCAGAGTGCCAATGAGTGTACTTGTATCACTAGGGCTCATTTCAACAATAACCTTGTTACCATTCCAAGCTTTCTCTTCCCATTCAATAAAAAGCAGCTTTTCCCCCTTGGAGCCTTTATATGCAAACAAGTGGACTGGATTGGGGAAGCTGTGTCTTGAAGGACAGAAATTCTGTTTACAGACCCAGGCAGAGGACGCTGGCAGGGAGGGCCTGTCAGGCCAGAGGAATGGCACGGGCAGGGCATATTCCATAACACGCCACAGTCATGTTACAGGGTCCTGGTTACAGGGCAGGTATAGGCCACGGTGTGAGCACCTACTGTGGGCTGAACACTAAGATCAGGAACTTTGTCTCAGACATGGGAGCTCCTTTCCTGAGGTATTCTAGAGTGTAATCCAGCCCACAGGCAGAGCTAGATGATTGTGTGTGTGACATCAAGCGATCCTTTCTGAAACCCAATCTTCTCCTGCGCCATCCCATACCGCGGCGGCCCACCCTCCACCTGGTGTTTCTCTCCCCCCAATCCCTCTCTCCTGCCCTTCTTCCACCACTTAACCCTAATGCAACCTACAGTGTCCAGGCTGTGTCCCACTTCCTGGTTATTCATGCAGACATGGCCATTCAGAGCTCTCTTTGGCCCTAAGTGATTTTAATGAGTTTAAGTGTCCGTGGCATAGAGCAGCTCAGGGTGGGAAATCAGACTCCTTCTAGACCACCCACCACCCCCCCCACACACATCCAACAACCAGTCAGGAGTCACAGCAGGGTTGCCCAAAGTCCCCTGTTCTGGCCAGGGTTTGGCCTCAACATAGGATTCTTTCCCCTGGACCCTGACCTGTTCCAGGTCTTGTCCCTTAGACCCAAGACCTGTTACTTGGTCACAAGGTCTGGTCCTTTCCTAATGCCCTGGAATCCTGAGGCCTGGATCTTGATTCACTGACACCACCTAGCCCCAAATAGGTCTCCCCTCTCCCAAGGGATCACCCATCTCCCCAGTTCAAATAGATGTCCTCTTGGCACCCATTGAGGCCCTTCAAGCCCCATCCAGGTCTTTACATTGGTCCTTCTGATCTCATCCCAGTCCTGATTTGAGATCCCCCTTCAGGCATACCCTGGCCCCAGCCCTTGGCAGCAGCACCCTTCTGTACCCGGCTGTAAACTGGGAGTCCGAGGCTGCTGGGGCTGTTAGAACTGGGGAGCATTTGGGGCTTGGGGGGTGGAATGGGCTTGAGGTTCCTTGGAGGGGGCACAGCATAGTCATCCGTGGCAGGGTTATAGGGGAGCTCATAGCCCTCATCCTGTACCCGAGCTCGCTGGCACCAGGCATCCCTGGGCTCCTGGGGTTTGTCATAAAGGCCTGGAGGTGGGGCTGGGCTCTGGCCTTCAGGCTCATCATAAATGGGCTCCTTCTTGGCTCCTCCCAGCTTTGTATCTTTAAGCTGTTGCTGCACCTGTTCAAACAAGCCCCAGTAGAGGGGGGAGCCTACACCAGCCCCAGGTCCTGTCCTCTGGCCTGAACTGTCCACAGGATCAGAGTACAGGGGGTCTGAAGAGGAGTCAGGCAGTGATCGAAGGGCATCCAGGGGCTCTGAGTAGAGGGCAGGGCCATTCTCGTGGGGATCTTCAAGGCCATGGGAGGCAGCCCCTGCCATCCCCACCTCTGAGGAGCCAGGGCACTGCTGATCCAGGCTTGGGCCAGCTCCAGCAATAATGCCAGCTTGAGCTTTTTGCCTCTGGATGGCAGCTTCCACAGCCTGAAAGATGTCATTCCCCTGTGAGGTCTGGAAAGTGAAGGTTCCAGGGCCTGAGGAACACCTCCTCCCAGCCTCGAAGGAGAACATGGCCTGGAGGTAAGAGGAGGAGAAGGCAACTGTGAGCTGGAGAGCTGGCAAAGACTGCCAAGATCATCCTTTCCAGCCCATCTTACAGGTGAGGAAACTGAGGCTCAGGAGAGAAGAGGCTGCCTGAGGTCATCCTAGCAGCAGTCCTCCTCTCCATGCTGCTGCCACATGGGTCTGAGGAGAGCCACTGGCCTCAGAGGAGGGACTAGTCTTACAGCTGCAGCAAAGGAGGACCCACCATACTCTCCTAGCCCTCCCCTCCATACATCCTCGGAGACTGAGCCCAAACCTTACTATAGTGGGACCTCTGCCCCTTCCCAACCCCTTACCCGATCCCGGCCATAGCGACGGAGAAGAGTGTAGGGCCAGGACAGCAGGGGCTCCTTCTTCTGACCCTGCCCCCCCAGCACCAGGAGACTCAGACCATCGGCCTCCACCCTGAGCAGGTAGTGTCCCTGCAACCCACAATGCTCAGATGCCTCTGTTTTCTGGATGGTCACCCAGAACTCGGACCCTGGGGAGAGATGAAGGGTCAAACAGGAACATTCCCAGTTGAAGAGGGGGGAAAATGCACAGGTCCTGCCAGAGACTGGATCCTACCTAGACACCAGACCCACAGGAGCTTCACACCCCCTCTCCCCAATCCTACAGGTGACCCTCAGCCCCATGTGGAATCCCTATTCCAAATTCAAGGTATGCTCTCCCTTCCACAGTCCCCTGGACCTCCCTCTCCTCGTCCCTTCCTCCTTTCAAGCCTACCTTGCCCATGGGGGCTATACAGGGAGTTCTCCTGCATCTCCATTGAAGAGGGCCCAGAAGAGCTTTCTCCTGGAGCCAGAGACCAGCAGCCTTTCTGCAGGGGAGAAAATATCGGTGATCCTGTAATCCAACCACAGTGCCCTCCAGCTGGGGTCTGAGCCCCATCAAGTTGGGGGGGAGGGGACACTGACCTTGAACTTTGCCCCCTCACTAAAAGGACTACCCTGGACAGCAATCCCGCTCACTCAATCCTCTCACCGGAAAGGCAGTCTGGCAGAGTATTTGCACCCAGGCCACGCTGGCGGGACCCTCAGCTGCCAGGAGGTGGGAGCGCTGAGCAGTGTCCAGTCGGAAGACCGATGTGCCAGGTCCTGGGGGGCTGTCCAAGGCCACAGGGGCCACACTCACACAATCCGACAAGCGAATTACTCGGCAGTCTAGGCGACGAGAGCCTCCCCATCCGCTTCCAGAGCCTGACCCTTTGTGCTCAAAGAACTCAAGACGGGCCACGCCATTGGGACTGGAGGGGTACAAGACAGCCCAGGTCTTCTTCCACTTCTATAGTGGGGAGAACGTGGGAAAATACTTTGAGAAGCTATTTGGGAGAGGAGAATATGAGGAAGACACTGAGAACAGACATGGGAAAAGGGAGTTTCATAAGAACAGAGATGCCCGGGACTTCCACAACCTTTGGAACAAGAGTGGGTGGAAGTCAGTATATATATGTATAGACAGACAGATAGATAGATAGATAGGTCACTGAGAGGACGAGATTCAAGGAAACACTAAGAGAAGGCACTGGGAAAAAAGACACATGGAGATATTGGAGAGGAGGGAAGATATGGGAAAATATGGGACACACCATAGGACTGGCTCTCTATATAAAACAACAGCCTTATCTTACCACCTGTTTCTTGGGGTGGGGTGGGGAAATGTGGAGAACATGTAGGGAAAACCAGGAAATGAGAGATAAAGAGGCAAGAGGGGTTGAACATACAGGCTAGCCCTATGAGAGGCAGGGCGACCCTGAGAAGAGAAGGGACTCCGTACATTCTGTCCAGCACCTCTCCTGGGGGGAAAAGGGGGGAGGGAGACAATGAGAGGGATCATGGCTGGGCCAGCCTAGGTTTCCAACCTCAGAGGTAAGCTGCGGTAGGAGGGAGGGGCCAGCAAAGACCCCAGACCAGGGGCCGAGGGTACTAGGCCTCCCCCACCCCTCAACCCCGGGAGAGGTGGGGTTTCCTAAAGGAGGCGGAGCTCCCTAGTGGGGGTGGGCGTATTTCCGTCCGGCCGAGGATGGAGGAAGCATGGAGGGGTTGGGACTTCCTCCGGAGTATGGGGGAGAAACTTCTCCCTCACTAAGCCCGGGCCCCACTCCCCCCGTCCCTCCCTTCGCCCCGGGGGCTCCCTCCAGACCGCTGCCCCGCGCCCCCCGCCCCTGCCGCCACCTTGGCCCCGAAGCGCTGACTCTGCACGAAGAGCGGTCCCTCCATGGCAGCCCCGTCCATGGCGGCGCCGTCCATGGCCCCAGGCGGCTCCGGACGCTTCCTGGCGCTGCGGGGCGGGGGCGGGGGCGGGGCGGGGGCCGCGAGGCGGGGCCGGGGTGGGAGGGATCACCCCCACCCCCACCCCCAGCCCCAAGCCGCTGAGCGGGCGTGCGGGATTCCAGCAGGACGCGATGAGACTGGGACTGGACGGGAGCTGCCGGGGCTGCCGACATTCCTGCGGCTGGCCCCGACGCCCGAAATGGAAAGAAGTGGGAGGGCTCAGGAAACCCACCCTCCCCCCACGCACGCTCACACTCTACACACACTCAGCCTCCTCTTCCCGGTCTGCCCCCACAAAACAAGCACGCAAACCTGAGGTACCTACTGGGTGCAAGGCCCCGGGCATTTTCGCTACTGCACCACAGGTGTCCCGAAGAGCTGAGTTCGAGCTGTGAAGTGGCAAGAAGGATACCTGGCAGGTTCTCTGAACTTAAATAGAGGCTACCTCGGGGCAAGTTCCCCGTCCAGGCCAGCATCTGAACGTTCCAGGCCCAAGACGACGATGAAACATCCCCTGCCCTCTGAGAGCTTCCCCTCTATTGTCTACAAGTTAGACCCAAGCGTGTGTCAACGTCAACAGGCTCAGACAAAGCTCAGGTGCTAGGAAGCACAGCCGCACATAGTAGGTGCCTATAAATACTTGTTGACCTGAACACACCCATATCCACACGCACAAAACTGTTCAGTGCTTATAACTGCTTGTTCACCTGAACACACACACACACACACACACGCACGCACGCACGCACACGCACACACACGCACAGTGTTCAGTGTCTGTGCGAGCCTACACCCTTTACCGAAACCTCAGGGGATGAGTGATGGAAGAAGGCAAAGACCTTGGGGGATGGGCAAAGGGATGAAGTTCGAGAAATGAACAGAAGCCTTCTCCAAGTCCAAAGCCAGGGGCTTCGCCCAACACGGGCCCCCGTGTGTCCTCTAGCCTCAGCCA